TCGGTGTTTGACTTTGCGACTCCCGTTCCCCAGGCGCTGGGGGCCACGGTGCTCATCTCCGCGGCTCCGTTCCTGGTGCTCTTCCTCATCCCGGTGGAGTCGAACTCGCCCAGGCACCGCTCTCTGCTCCAGGTCTTGCTCAGTTTTGCCTCCGGGGGCCTCCTGGGGGATGCCTTCCTGCACCTTATCCCGCACGCTCTGGGTAAGTAACCTCCGCTCTACCACCACGAAGCGCAAGCTGCCACCCCCTCCCTGGGTTTCCCGGCAGCCCTCAGACACGCAGGCGTTGTGTGCCACGCATCCCCTTTCCTTCTCTTCCTGCAGAGCCGCATTCTCACCACACTCCCCAGCAGCACGGACACGGACACGGACACTCCCACAGCGGTGAGAAAGATGTTGACGGGAACAGGGATTGGGATGCTGGGAAGGCCTGCCTCAGTCGTCCTTCGCCCCGAGTCTGCGCCTCCCTTCATGCCTCAATGCCTCTGCTCCCAGGCCAGGGCCCCATCCTCTCTGTGGGGCTCTGGGTCCTCAGTGGGATTGTCGCCTTCCTGGTGGTGGAGAAGTTTGTGAGGCACGTGAAAGGCGGACACGGACACAGTCACGGACACGGGGACGGCCACACACACGGAAGCCATGCTCATGGGAGACAGGGTGAGCCTACCTTGCCTGCCACAGAATGCATTCAGGCTCCTGCGGTGGAGCGAGCTTCCTGTGGAGGACACAGCAGAGGCTCTGCCCTCGCTCTGATCACCTCCTCTCCTCCCTCAGAGTGTCCTTCAAAAGAAAAGCCCAGCTCAGAGGAAGAAGAAAAGGAAACGGGGGTTTTGCGGAAAAGGAGAGGGGGAAACGCAGGGTCGAGGGATGGGCCAGCAAAACCTCAGGACCCTGAAGAAGAAAAACCAGGTTCAGGTACGGGCGAGTGGGTGGGATCGCTGACTCTCACAGGATGTGTGCTGGAGATGATGGATGGTGCTGTCTAGAAAATCCTGAAGTTAAACTAGGAACGGTGGTGGCCGCATTCAATTGTTTGGTCTCATCTCTTTGTGCAAAAGACCTGCGTGTGTCTGGGTACCTGAACCTGGCTGCTGACCTGGCGCACAACTTCACGGACGGCTTGGCCATTGGTGCTTCCTTTCGTGGGGGCCGAGGCCTGGGGATCCTGACCACAATGACAGTCCTGCTGCATGAAGTGCCTCATGAGGTCGGGGACTTTGCCATCTTGGTCCAGTCTGGCTGCAGCAAGAAACAGGTTGGTGCCAGCTGCCTGTCCTTAGTTCCTCACAGGCTGTACTACTGTCAACAAGTCTTTTAGAAGGGAGCGAGTTGTTTCCTTTGCCCGTGTCCTGTATTGCTGCACTGTGACCCTCACATGCCCACAGCCTGGAAGGGCCTGGTCCGTTCTAGTGCTTCATTCTAGGCCTTTTTTTCCTGGCCATTTAGGGGGCTGGGGTGTCTTGGGTGTGGATCCTCAGGCAAGTCTCACTAGTCTGCCTGCTGACCAGGGAGCCCCAGATGGCTGCCTGCCTCTGCTTCCCGGTGCTGGGAGAGCCAGCACCTCCACCGCACTTGCCTTTCTGTGCAAGTGCCTGGGATGCTCACGCAGCCATGTCCCCAGCTCCTTGTCTGTCCTCTGCCTTTCCAAAAAAACCGTGGACACCTGTCCACCTGACCCACTGGTCACACCTAACCCTTAGCTGTTGGTGATCACGTCTTTCTCTTTTCTGCCCACCAGGCGATGCGTCTCCAGCTCCTGACGGCAGTAGGGGCACTGGCAGGCACGGCGTGTGCCCTTGTCACTGAAGGAGGGGCAATGGGTAGTGAGGTGGCAGGTCCTGGCTGGGTCCTGCCGTTCACTGCCGGTGGTTTTATCTACGTGGCAACAGTGTCCGTGTTGCCTGAGCTGTTGAGAGAGGCGTCCCCATTACAGTCCCTTTTGGAGGTGCTGGGGCTGCTGGGGGGAGTGGTCATGATGGTACTGATCGCCCACCTTGAGTGAGGGTGGGGCAGTCTGTCCTGCCACCCCAACTCCCAGATAGACAGTGGGGAGCCCTGGCGGCGGGTGTTACTCGCCAGAAGAAGGAGTTTTAGCCTTGGAGAATGATGTCTTGGGATTTGGGTCCTTTAAGGTATGGCAGTCACACAGAGCCCGAGAGGTCAGAGGGACCAAAGTGTTGGGCACTGCTCAACAGCATTGTTGGTTTTGGAGAAATAAATGGGGGCCACGGAAGGACTGGGGTGACAGTACCCTGCCAACATGCAGCACAGGGCCCTCCAAGGCCCCTCTCCCTCTGCACTGGTTAGTGGTGGCTCCGGGGAAGACCCGACAGGAGTGGGGTAGACATCAATCGTGTGTCCTGATTTGGAAGTAGCGGGGTGGGAGAGCGCTCCTTGGTAAAATCTCACGACCTGATTTATTTTTGTTTCTCTTCCTTTTATATCACTGTTTGAATGGGTCGGGAGGAACGGTGACCAGAAATAAAGTACTTGGATCTTCAGCCCCACACGCAGTCTTTGTTTTTGGGGGGAGTGGGGCCCCTTGTCTTCCGGACTCCCCAGGTCCCCAAGGGGTGGTGGGTGGCCACGCCCCACTGTGGGAGGTCGTCCGGGCCGGTGGCTGTCACTGGCCGAAGGCGTTTCCATTGGGCCGGGTTCGCCTCGCCACGCCCCCAGTGTGCTCCGATTGGCGTGGGCTCGGGGTCCCGCCCACCCCCAGCAGCCATGGCGTCTCAGCTCCGGCTCCGCTCCGCGCTGGCCCTGGTCACAGGTTCAGGGGTTCCCTCCGGGGCGGGCTGGGGTGCCGGGGCCACGTCAGCGAGGGCCACCCCTGGGGCCCCTGGCCCTCTTGTCTGAGTTTCGGTAACTTTGCGCCCCGTGACCTCTGACCTCCGCCCGTCCTCTCCCGCTGCCGCCGACTCTCCCATCTCAGGTGCCGGTAGCGGCATCGGCCGTGCGATCAGCGTGCGCCTGGCGCAAGAGGGCGCCGCCGTGGCCGCCTGCGACCTGGACGGGGCAGCGGCACAGGACACCGTGCGTCTGCTGGGCGGCCCCGGGAGCGAGGGCGGGGCGCCGCGCGGGAAGCACGCTGCCTTCCAGGCGGACGTGTCGCAGGCCGCCGCAGCCAGGCGCCTGCTGGAGCAAGTGCAGGTGAACCAGGCCCCGCGCAGCAAAGCCTCGGCCCGGCCTTTGTGGGCCTCGGTGTCAGTCCCCTCCCTGCCTCCCTCCTTCCCATAGGCCTGCTTTTCTCGCCCGCCATCTGTCGTTGTGTCCTGTGCGGGCATCACACGCGATGAGTTTCTGCTCCACATGTCAGAAGAAGACTGGGACAGAGTCATAGCTGTCAACCTCAAGGTGCTGACCTCTGAACCCGTGACATGTGCCCGCCCCCGGCCTGGAGAAGGACTTGGAGGAGGGCTGCCGCCCACCCCCGCTGGTCCTGCTAGCCTTGTTCCCCTCTCGTGCCAGGGCACCTTCCTAGTCACCCAGGCTGCAGCCCAGGCTCTGGTGTCCAGTGGCTGTCGCGGCTCCATCATCAATATCAGTAGCATCATTGGAAAGGTCAGGTTGAGCCGGGCCGGGCCAGCAAGCCACGTGGGCACTGGGAAGCGACTCCCTCCGAGACTCCTGACTCACCCCGGGTCTCTGACTCACCATAGGTGGGGAATATTGGACAAACAAATTATGCGTCCTCCAAAGCGGGAGTGATTGGGCTCACCCAGACTGCAGCGCGCGAGCTTGGACGGTGGGTCAGACCGTAGGCGCCCTGCTGAGGGAGGGGGCCAGTGTTCTTCCCAGGGTCAGCATCCATTCTTCCTCCCGCAGCCATGGGATCCGATGTAACTCAGTCCTCCCAGGGTTCATTGCAACACCCATGACCCAGAAAATGCCAGAGAAAGTGAAGGACAAGGTAGGCTGTGGGTGGAGGGCGATCAGAGGAGGTCGTTGAGGGAGATTGCTGGGCACAGTGCAAACAGTAAGTACTCCAGACACGCACTTAATGAGAAATGAAAAGGTAAGAAAAAGAAATCCACAAAAGAAACTTCCAGCCACACTTGTTTCCTTTGCAGGTGACTGCAATGATTCCGTTGGGACACATGGGGGACCCTGAGGGTGAGCATGGGTTGGGCAGGAAGGCTCTGAGGAGGGGACCTGAAGAGATCCTTAAATGTGTAATATTTCTGAAAGGGTCGCATAGGGATGAATGATGGGTGCGGTGCGGGCTCGGGGTCCTGCGGGAGCACAGCCTCTCTGGAGCTAAGGACGCGAGCCTGCCCTTCCCCCACTGTCCCCTAGATGTGGCAGATGCGGTCGCATTCTTGGCATCTGAAGACAGTGGATACATCACAGGGGCCACAGTGGAAGTCACTGGTATGAGGCCTTCGTGGGGCGGGCGGACACAGAAAGGGGACAGCAGAACTCAGGCTGTATGAGAAAGCGAGGCGACCTTGCAGCCCGAGTGGCAGAGGTCCCTTAACTAGACCAGGGACAGAAGTGGGTGTCTGCCCATACACCTCGGCACCCATGCACCTGTCCCGATGTTTCTGCCCCTCTCAGGAGGTCTTTTCATGTAACTGCCTGCCGCATGGAAGCGCCTGGAAGCTGGACTCTGCTCGCTCCCCCACACTGCCTGGCCTCCTGCTGATGAGGACGCTAAGTTCCCAGGCTACAAAGGGGGTGGCAGTGTGTGGCTCGGGCATGCTGAATATGGAAGGCAGGGGTGCTTGTGACCCTAATAAATTCCAAATCCTCTTCCCTGCCACCTCCGGTTCTTCTTGTGTCCAAGCCCTCAGACCCTTCCCACCTCCCCCTCTCTCCCCTTTCCGAAGGATTGCTCCCTTTCACTGCCTGGTCTCCCAGGGCAACCCCCGCCGCCGGGTGTGAGAGTAAAGAGTGTGTGTCACTGTGTGTGCGTGACACTCCGGGTCTTTTCAGAGGGAGGGGAGTCTGTCCCCCCCCTCCATTGGATCTGCAGCACCAGGCATGCCCCCCCATTCCCCGGGTCCTTATGGCCACCCAGGGTGATTTGTTCTTGGCCCCATCCTGGTGTCCAGTCTGGCCTTGGAAGGGGGTCTTGGAACAGGTGGCCCACCCCCACCCCTCCTTTCTCTGTTCCCCTCCCTTCTCTCCACCTTACAATAGCTGCAGCCAGGCAGGGGTGGGATGGGGGGGGTTAGGGGGGGGGGGCAG